CCAGTGGCCATGGGTTTATTATAAACTGGAGGTTCTAATTGCATTGTGCCATGGATTTGAATTTAACATTTTAGGGAGTCTTTAAGTTGATTGGGTAGTTTTTCAACCTTCCATTCCATGGAGCATAGCATTAATTTGTTTTATTAATACCAGGAGCTCCGGGGTGGAGTGGGGTGGGTGTTAGTGGGTTATGCATAGGCTTTGAACCACAAGGTCAGTGTTTCAAATTCACCGGCCACTCCCAGGAAGAAAGTGGAGGCTGTCTGCTCCCATCAAGATTCACAGCCTCAGAGACCCTCAGCGCAGTTCTACCGTGTCCTACAGGGTTGCTGTGAGATGGAAACAAGGCCGGGGTAGTGAGGTTGAGTTGTTGTTTAAATGCTTTAAGCCTTAAGATTATGCTGAGTTCATTTGGTAGGTTGTTTGGGGGGTACTTGGGGTTTTTTGGTTCTTTTTGGCATTTTATTCATTGTCATACCCTTAATTTTCTGTACATTCTTGCTTTTAATTGTGAATTTTGGGGAAAACCAAACCACCTTTAGCATGCCTCAGGAGGACCACTTGTTGATTATTCTCCGATACATTTGGAGCCCCGGGACCCTGTCTCCCCTACCTGGAAGTTGAGTATCTGCTGCAGTCTTTCCTTCATCTGGTGGCATCGCTGGTTGATGACAGAGTCCAGCAAGGATAATCTGCCCAGAAGACAGCCTAGGGTGTCTTCAATGACACCCCGGTTTTCCCCGTTCTCAGGAAATGCTTGGGAAAACAAGTGCTTGTTCTTATCCATTTCTTCAGACATTTCCTTAATGTCTTTGGCAAGGGTCTAGGGTTGGTAAAAGAGAAAGTTCACTGCAATGGGTAGGCCCCTTCATTCATAGCTAATCCACACCATCGCCCCAAGCAATGACACATAGCACTCTGTCATAGTTACAAAGAAAGATCCTCTTAAAAAAAAAGTTACATCTTAGTATTTTCATATCTTATATATCGTATCTCTGTGGCCCTTCACCCATGAAAATGATGATAGCAACATATATACAAATTGGTTGACACAATGGATGACTATATGGATTGTGATAAGAGATGTAAGACTAAGGTGACCAGATTTTACCATTGGTAAAGCGGGACACCATTGATAAAACTCATATCCTGGTGAAATAGCCACATGGCAGCCCAAAACCGTATACCCTAGCTTGTCGTGCATTCTTTCCAAAAATCGGGACTTTTTAAAAACGCCGTGGGATGCAGGAAAATTGCTCAAAATCGGGACTGTCCTGCCAAAAGCGGGACGTCTGGTCACCTTATGTAAGAACCCCCCCCCATAAAAGCATTTAATTTTTTAAAAAGTTGGTGTGGAGAGATGATTTCTCAAGAGCATTAACTAATAATTAGGCATTTTGTGAGCAGGGAGGGGGGAGAAGAGCCTTATAGATAGGATCGAGGAATTCTGTCGTAATTACTGCAGCCTGGGTTTTACATGTGGAGATTTTATCACATATGACAGTGGCTCTGTCAAAAGACCCCCGGTTTTCTTTCTCCCACTTCCATAGGCAAGATCAAGATGAACTCCCCAAATCCAAAGATCATGGAGAATTCTCTGCGTTAGGCGAGTCCATTCTGCACCATGTTGCTCAGAAATGCATCGGGTTCGCGCTTCCTCACTTTGTGTCTCGCACTCTCCTCTCTACAAGCCTTTGTTGATATCAGGGTGTGGAGAACGTGGCGGTTAGACACCCGTGGAGACACCGGTGGACACACTTACCTCTTGTTGCATGAGGCATGTTTCTGTTTCTTCAGGTAACAGAGCCGTGGCCACAAATAAGCGTTCTTCCACGTCGTCCAACCACGTGGACGTCGCTGAGACCCCATCATACAGCTTCTGCTCCAAGTGAATGTTCTGCCCTTTGGCCCCTCCACCCTGGAAACAAAACCAACAGGACACAGTGCCTTGAGGACCCACCGCCAAACGCCAAGATGTGCCAGGGTCCAGCAACTCTGTGCATGCCAAGTGGGTGATTCAGACAGCCTGTCGCTAGTGAGCCAATTTATGAGACAGGGCAGGCGAGAGCTTGAGGGTTCGGATTGAGCGCTGGTGCCCGAGGAAGACAGAGTGGATCCTGTCCACCCCACCCCGCTTCCCTGAGCACATGGTAAAGGGGTGTTTTATAGTCGGGGCATGGTAGAAGGAGCTCCTAGAATAGACTGGCCTAGGAGGGAGGCCACCTGGTTCCCAGCATGCTTGTGTTGTCCAGGTGCTAGTCTGGCTGGCTGAGCTCTGGGTGGGTTCATCTTACCTTGGGAAGGGCAACAGCGACAATGGTTTGTTAGAGCCCCGGGAAAGGGACAGAGTGTGGCACGCAGCAGTGGGGCACAGTGGGGCATCGTGGTGTTTCTCTGCGGGCTGATCATCTAGGAGGGTTCGTGCGGAAGAGCCGTGGAATGACTCAGGACCTGGATGCTGGGGGGGGGTGGAGGGGGGCAGGCACAGGCAGGGAGCCAGCCCTACCTGGGGTGAAACCTCCTCAAAAGCCTGGTTCAGTCCATCCAGCAGGGCTGTGACGGCAGACTTGTCCTGGGCCTGCCCTTCTGCTTTGTAGGGAGGCACGCCAGTCAGGAGCCGGTTTGGCCTGCCATAACCCTGTAGGCAGACAGAGACAGCGTATGCATGAGCATGCGCACCTGGGCGCCCGAGGTTACGCATCTATGATCGATTTGAAAGATCAGCATGGTTGAAACCACCAGCCTCTGAAAGGGGGAGAAAGACCGGGCTTTCTACTCCCATCGAGAGTGGCAGTCTCATGAACCCACAGTGATATCGTTCTACCCTGTCCGAGAGGGTCCTATGAGTTGGCCTCCCCTTGTTGCAGCAAGTATTTTCACTTTTGGGGGGACCAGGGCTCAAGTTCTTGATTTGGAAGTGCACCTTGAAGTAGATGCTGAGAAAATTCATCCTAACGGAAACCTCTTCTGGAGAAATATTCCCTCACGACACATCCAGGCCACGGGACACGCTGATCCGTAGTCAGCGGGGTATGACAAATAAAAGTGGCACGTAGGAGGCCACGCCTAAAATCCCTTCATAGCCTTTCTGACATCGTCCCCTTATGGGACAATACACCATCTTAAACAGGAGGCCTGCTCTGGGCCCTTGGCTTTCAGTATCCAGTTGACCTCCCCTGGCCCTGAGTTTGATTTGCTTTGATTTGAAGGCACGCCCACTGGCTCCCCAACATGAACGCAGATAGGACCTTGCATTCAAAGGTGTTGACCATTGTGTTTCTAATTTTGAGCTCAGGCTCCTAGACTTTGCCACTACATCTCCATTTTTTCCCTCTTCGCTTTCCGCTGATCACACACTACCCTCTGAGCCTGCCAGGCTCCTTCCTGGCTTGAGCAGGAAATGCCCTCCCCCTCAAACTGTGACCCATCACAGGGGCTTTTTGAGACTTTATCCTTTCAGTTTCTGTTCCCGGAGCCTATCAAGGTTGTTTAATTTCTCATGGGTGGAGGACAACTTTCTAGAATTGACTATCGGCTCTTAGACGCAGGGGACACAAAACCAAACTTCCTGCCATACAGTCTGTTCCGACGCACAGTGACCCTATGTGAGCTGCCCCTGTGGGTTTCCAGGGCTGAAGCTCTTTACACTTGTTTCCTGAGGAAGGTCAGGTTGGTTTGAACCTCTGACCTTGTGGTTAGGAGGCCAACACAGAACCCGCTGGGTCATCAAAGACCAGTAAGGAGTGCCTTCTCCTGAGTTCAAGTCCAGCATTCTGAGTTCCCAGGTAAAGGACTAGGCAAGGGGATAGAGCTCTGGGATACAAATGCCTTTTGGAAGAAACCAGGTGCCCCTTTTCACACGTGTCAGTCGTTAGGAGATCTGGTATACAAAATAGTCAGTTGATAGTCCGTAAAGCTATGGTCGGATAAAAACCCCAGCGTCCCCTGACCCCCCATTTCTTAGCCGTGCACGTCTGAGGAGTTATGTTGCCTTGTGCAGCCTTAGTTTACAGACTGCAAAGAGCGGGTCATGTCAGCACCAGCATCAATAGATGGGTAAACACCTAAACACCACCCGCCCACTGTGTTAAAGTGGATTCTGACTGTACCAAACCAAACCCAAAACCAGAGCAAACCCACTGCCGTCGGTTCTGACCCACAGAAGCCTGTAGGACAGAGAACAAACAGCTCCATTGGGTTTCCAAGGCTGTAAGCCCATATGGAAACAGACCGCCCACCTCGCTCTCACGGAGCACCTGGTGGGCTCGAACTAATGACCTTTAGTGCTTGAACCACTGTGTCACTGGGGCTCCTTGAAAGCACTCAGGACACAGGAGGTAATCCTTCTTGGTAACTGATGGCCATCTAGCTTCTTGCCCATCTCTCCAGCCTCAGCACACCGCGGAGGGGAAGACAGCAGAGGAGGGGCCCCTCTGCTCCAGTTCCAGGGGGAGAGAGTTGAATAAACAAACGATGCCTCAGTTTTCCTCTTCCGGAGACCAAAAGCCACCACACAATCGGATCCCCTTAACCCAGGTTGGACACTTTTTATGTCTGGCAATACACAAAAGCAACAACAACAACAAAAACCAACAATCCAAAAGGTGGACAGTCGCCTCTGGGTCAGGAAAGCCGGACGGTGGCCCCTGCAACAGTTTGCAGCCAGAAGGCTTCAGGCTAGCGGCGGGCAGGGGTGAGACCTGTCCTGAGGCTGGCAGAAGGGACATAAGTCCATGGTTCAGGTGGGCTGTGGGTACAGGCCTTCATGAGGGGCTAGGGGATCACAGGATCACACTGAAGACACCCTTTTTCAGCTGATCCTGGAAAATCTGGCTGGGCCTGGCAATGGCTTGTCTGCTATGGGAATCCCTGTTTTGCTAGCTCCCAACCTGCCCCTTCTTAGCTTCCACTGCCAGCCTCTCTCTGCCCTGACACCAGTCCTGGCCAGGGCGGGGAAACCAGCAGTTCCCACAGACTGAACAGTTAAGACCACAGCCATCCCCTGACCCACTGAGCTCCACAGATGCCAGCCTCCAGGGTTAACAAGGGAGGTTATGCGATGGAGGCATCGTCTTTGAGGGAAAACAAAAGTCATCTAAAAGCAAATAAATGTTCATCGTTAAAAAGATGTATTTCGGGGATAAGTGAGAACAGGCTATTAAGAGAAATGTTGAATAAATAAAGAATGCTTCAGTTTTCCTTTTCATGACAATAAAAGTCACCACACAATCGGGTGCACTAAACCTATGTTGCACGTCCATACAAAAAAGCAACAATAACAAAGAACAACAACAACAAAAAGCAAAAGGTGGATACCATGGGCTCTTGTTCCTGCTCCAGCACACTCTGTAGCAGTCCCTGCTTGGTACTGAACTCCTGACGGAGGCTCTCCCATCTCATCCTCATCTGTTCTTCGGTTGATGGCTTCTCCCCTTCCAGGCCCAGCTTCTGGGCTAGCGCATCAGCTCTTTCGCTGTTGGAAGAACAATGTGCATTTACAAAGTGAGTGAAATGGGCAGGGGGCCTGGTGGTTTACTGTGTACTCGGGTTGGCCTGTAAATTGGGAACAAGAACATCTGCATCATTAGCGTATACCTTACAAAAGGTTTGTCGAGAGATCATCAAACAAGTACACCCATTGTCACATGACAGTTGAACCATCAGCGGCCGGTTGAGAATTTGCAAAAGACTTTGGCAATACTTCAGTTTAAAATGAAGGGAAGAGCAAGTTATAACATTATGAGTGAGAACATAGATGGTACAGGTAAGCCAGCAAGTCAATTCTGACTCACGGCTACCCTGTAGAGCAGAACAGACTTGCCCCTGGGCATTTCAGAGGAGTAGAAAGTCGCACCTCTCTCCTGCAGGGTGGTTGGTGGTTTTGAACTGCTGACCTTGCAGTTAGCAGCCCCATGCATAACCCACTATGCCACTGGGGCAACCCCACAGCCCGCACAAAGCAAAGGCAAAAGCTCCACTCGGTCACTGACAGTGCTTAGCTGCATTCAGAGGCAGTACAACACACCAGGTTCCAGATGCTGGAATAACAATAGGGACTCTGGACGGGAGGAACCAGTGTAGCCTCCTTAAAGACGGGTAGCAGTCTGGCCTAGAAGAACGAGCATGGCTTTCAGAGTGAGCCAGATCCCACTGTGCGCACGGACTACGTTTTCCCATCTGTTCTTCCGTTAATGGACATTTGGGTTGTTTCGACCTGTTGGCTCTCGTGGATAATGTTGCAAGAACCTTGGTGAACATGTATGTACTGGAGGCCCAATACTTACTCTTTACCTATTCAATTTGTACCAACGAAGCAGGTCACACACTTCCCAAAACTGCTTTCTTTCATCGGTTGACATTGGCGAGTCTTAGAAAATTAGCTAGGAAGTTATAAACGGAAGACACAGTTTTGGGGGGTGGGGTGGTTTTCTTCCCTTAGCAAGGCTATGCTGCTGTTTCTACCTACCTTTCTCCTCCCTCGGCCGTCTGGATGTCACTGAATTCATGGTTGTTTGCTAAGACAACGTTTAAAAAGGGTGGCTGAACTATAATCAACTACATAGAAAGGTACGTTTTGTAAAGCACTTTCTCCCCAAGTGAGGAATCTAAAGGAGGCAGTCAAAGGTTCGGAGAAGACGGCCGTCTACAGGACTAATGTCTCCCTGAACCATGGTCTCCACGTCTGAGACCAGAACAACGAGATGGTGCCTGGCTACTCTCAACACGGAATGTCCTGATCTGGGTCACTGTATAAGATGACACAGTTAAGAATTACATATTGTCTGGGGAGAAGGTATGTGTGTATGGAGTGGGGAGGGGACAACAGCAAGACAGAGTTAACCCCAAGCCCAAATCACTGCCACTGAGTCCATTCTGGCTTGCAGTGACCCTATAGGACGCTATAGCAACCTATAGGACAGCGTGGAACGGTCCCTGTGGGTCTCTGAGACTGTGACTCCAAGGGAGTAGAAAGTCCTTCTTCTCCAGCCAAGTTGCTGGTGGTTTTAAAATGCCGACCACGCGGACGGCCCACAGCCCAACGAGTTGCCATTGCACCACCAGGGCTCCTGCGAAGAAGCAAGGTTGGTTTATAATAAGAATGCTGACACCGTGCAGACTTTGGCACTCTCACCAAAAACACAACAAATTAAAGAAACCAAAAACATTATAGCCAGACTTTCAAGTGAATCCTTCATGGAAAGCAAGGCCTTTGATGCCTCAAATTTTCTTTCTAAAAAAAGTTTTACTATTTGGAAGAATAAGTCCTAGCCGTTTGCTTTTCCTTTCTGGATCCTTTCTGGACTCAAAGACCGAGAAGAGAGAGAAAGTGGGGTGGGGGAGAATCTAAGTGTATCATGCATTTCTAATTTGATTGTTTTTAAAGGAACCCATGAGCCGCCTTCTGAGGGATAACAGGATAGTCACCAGAGCTGCTGGTTAATGATCACGCTTGTACCACAGGATGATCAGAACACAGCTGATTTCTTGCGCCAATGTAATGTTTTATAGAAGCGGTTCCTGACCCACGTTAATGAGACACGTGCATGTCTTCACATGGCAGCCAAGGACGGTGAAGAGGGGGGAGAGGCGGGGGGTTCGAAGGACATACCCAGAGCTGGAGGTCTCCGCAGCCGAGTGCTGGGTGAGGATTTCTTCTCCCCGGCTGGCGACGGACTGAAGCAGGCTCTTCTGAGCTGCCAGCTCCTGTTCCAACTCCTGCTCAAGTGAAAGAACGGTAGCGACATCCTTGTTAGTGTCTGACTACTCCCTGCTGTCACGACCCTGCTGCTAGTGCACTTTCTGAGACCTTTGGCAACCAGCGTTGTCTGCAGGTTGAATAAAATGTGTGCATGGAGAATTCCAGCATTTCTCAACCTGTGGGCTGCAATCCCTTTGGTGGTCACACGACCCTTTCCCAGGGGTCGCCCGATTCATAACAGGAGCAAAATGACAGTGATGAAGTAACAACAAAAATAATTTGATGGTTGGGGTCACCACGACATGAGGAACTGTTTGAAAGGGTCGCGGCGTGAGGAAGGTGGAGAACCACTGGCTTAGATCAATGCAACAGACCTCTCTGAAGCCATGGGTTTGGTTGCAAATACCGAACACACTGCCATCCAGTTGATTCCAACTCCTAGCGATCCTGTAGGACAGAGTAGAACTGCACCTGTGAGCTTGAGACCAGAACTCTTTACAAGAGTAGATAAGCCTCGGTTTTCACCCGAGGAGGGGCGGGTGGTTTTGAATTACGGACCTCGTGGTGTGCAGCCTACTGTGTGACTCACTACACCACCAGGCTCCAGGTTTGGTTCTGTTGTTGCTAAGTGCCATCAAGTTGGTTCCCACCCATAGCGACCCTATGCACAACAGAGCCCAGCGCGGCACCATCCTTGCAAGTACTTGCTCCTGTGCTCGAGCCCATCGTAGCCGCCACTGAGTCACTGTCTCGCCCAGGGCCTTCCTCTTATTCACTGCCCCTGTACTTTATGGAGCAAAATGTCCTTCTCCACTACGTGTCTGCCAGTCGGTCATACCGTGGTGGCTCGTGTGTTGCTGTGATACTGGTTGGGTTCTAGACCACACCAATAAGGTGAACATTGGTGAAGAATCAGAGGGCAATGCTCCGAAATGGATCGTAGTGCATTCCATTGGACTGCATGATGGCACAAATCTTCTGAATATGATTGCATGGTATGGTATAGAAGGCAGAACCCAATCAAACCATGACAATAGAAACCGATAAAGATGCTTTTGAAAGAAGAGTCAGACGGATACTCATTCCCTAATGAGTACCAAAATGATGTTTCCAGTAGACTACTGTCTAGTAAATGGGTGAGATTGTTGTAAGGAGAGTTTGGAATACGGTGAGAGTGGCCAAAAGGTAGAGAGACACGCATCATGTGTGCACTCTGTTGGAGAAATGAAGTCTCGGTGTAGAATTGACACCACCCTTTTCTTTGTTTTATTTATTTATTTTGGGGGGGTCTTTTTGGCAGCATCTGGGAAGTGCAATGCAATGAGGCAGGTCTGCCTGCACTCACAAAGGCTTCCTGTGGACTCCAACTGACATCAGCTTCCCTTTCCATCCCTGGGAGGACGAGGGAAATGTGTGCTGTGCAATGGCGCCCTCCAGTGGTGCAGCACGCGCAGCGGCCCTGTCCCACATCCGCATCACCTGGCTCTGGGAGGGACAGAAGCTTGAAGAAGGTGGCTCTTTGGTTTCACTCACGTGATAAACTAGAAGACACACCGATTGGAGCTGACTTCTTTTCTTTATTTGAAACCAATATCTTTACTCCTTGAGAGGATAAAAATATCTTCACACGCCTTTTACATAGGCGATGAATGAGAACTCATTCTTCTTCATCAGATCTTTCAGACACCCCGCCCCCCAACAAACCAACAGCTTGCACATTGGTTTTGTGATGATATGTACTTTAAAGTCATAAAAGTGTGTATTTATTTTTAAAATCGTATAATTCAGACTCCTTACCAATTCTTAGGGGCCTAGTTTCTAAACTATTCTAGTCTGGGAAGTTTTTGTTTTTAATCATTTTATTGGGGTCTCATACAACTCTTATCACAATCCATCCATCTATCCATTGTATCAAGCACATTTGTACATTTGTTGTCTTTATCATGCTCAAAACATTTTCTTTCTACTTGACCCCTTGGTATCAGCTCCTCATTTTCCCCCTCCCTCCCCACTCCCACCTCTTCCATGAACCCTTGATAATTTATAAATTATTTTGTCATATCTTACACTGACATCTTCCTGGGAAGTTCTATAGCAATAAAACAATCACAATTGTTTTTTAAATTGCTAAAATTTGTTCTCGTTTTTTAATATTGTCTGACTTTGTTTTGATTGAGGTTTTTTCTGATTTACGCCGTCATTGTTTGTATGTGTTTCTAGATATGAAATCCACCACTGGTAAAGCTATAGAGGCAGTCACTGGCGTGTGGCAGAGGGGGTTGTGGGGTGGCAGATGGGGAGCTAATGACAATGAGAACAAGAGAGAAGACAATGTTCTGAAATCGATCGTGGCGGTGACCACACAACTCTTTAAGATGACTGAACCGTTGTAGGACATGAGGATGTTATGTCAATACAACCGCTACAAAACAACACGTAGTGCACACTTTCGCTCATTCTCCAAGACTCTCCTTGCATATCAGTCTAGTCCAGGAGGTTTAGCTCTGATCAAACAGATGCAGATGGGGGTGAATGTGTAGACAGAGTGATGAGAGAGGTTCAGTTGTTCCCCAGTCTCCCCCCCACCCCCCAGGGTTTCCCGTGGGTGAGCCTGCAGGCTAGCGAGAAGCATGAAGTACCTTACTTTTTGTTGCTGGAGGCTGCTCTGCCTCTGATGGGTGCGTGTGGTCCGTGCCTGGGTCAGCCACTCCGGGACCCCGGGGCTCTGGGTGGCCGTCAGCTCCCCGTTGCTCTCTTCCTTCTCCTGGCTTGTCCCCTGCTTTAAAGGAGGCAAAAGTCAAGGGTCATGCTACTCAGAGGAAAACCCCAACCCACGCGGCACCACACCTGCCTCGGTGTGGTCTAACTCATGGCACCAGAGTGGCTCCTTTAGACGGAAACTACATTAGCAATACAGGCAGCAGAGAAACCACTGAAGTTACAGACCCCAAGGTCAGGCAAGCAACTAGAGAAAACATTTTATGGTGAAATGTTTCTATTTAGACCAGTGGTTCTCAACCTTCCTAATTCCGAGACTCTTTAATACAGTTCCTCATGTAGTGGTGAACCCCCAACCATAAAATTATTTTCATTGCTACTTCATCACTGTCATTTTGCTACTGTTATGAATCAGGTGACCCCTGGAAAGGGTTGTTCTACCACCAATGGGGTCGTGACCCACAGGTTGAAAACCGCTGATTTAGACATTTGCTGTGAGCTGACCAATATGGCTACCAGATACTATTGTAAGTGTTCTTCCATGGGAATGCCGTTCTAGATTCTTTTATTCTTTCTTTCTTTGTTAAAGGTCACACACCTAAGTCCATTTTTTCTCTCTCTCAAATGACCACCGTGTCTCACAATGTTACTTTAGTTCTCTTGGGAAAAGTTGACACTGCTGCATTCCGACTTCTCTCTCTTACATCAGCACCCAGCAACCACAGGAGACAAATGCTTGGTTTGGAAAGATCTGCCTATTCATGAGCATGTATGTTCTTTCATTTTGGTAGGTCTCCTTTGGTGACTTGCCAGGTGGCTGGCTGTTTTCTTGGTATAAGACTTGTAGGTCTCTGGTTAGGGTTATTTCCATTGCACCTTGGGATGGGGGAGGCGCTTCTGGAAATGCCACTGGTGTTCTGACTTGCTGTTCAGAATTCCTTTAGTTATCATAGACTGAGTGTTGTATGCTGACCTTGGACCCAGCCACTTGACCTTCTATTAGCTCCAGAAGCTTTCTGGCTAAGTCTCTGGGCTTTTGTATGTGTTAGATCATAATATCATCGGCAAATTCAGACTTATTTCTTCCTTACCAATCTGGACCCCTTTCCTATCCCGTTCTGGCCTGATTGCTCTGACGAGGCCTTCTAATTCCACGTTGAACAGGAGCGGTGACAGAGGCCGCCCGTATCGGGTTGCCATTCACAAGGGGGATGTTTTCAGCCTCTCTGTTGAGAATCATGTTGGCCTTGGTTTCGCGCCTAGGCCCTTAATGATATTGAGACATTTCCCTTCTACTCCTCTTCTCTGGAGTTTTTAAAATTAAGACGAGGTGTTGGATTTGATCAAATGCCTTGTCGGCACCAACTGATAGGATAACGTGGTTCTCCTCCTGCATTTCCTGTCTGCGGTCCATTATGAATGAAAGGGTAGAAAGCAGTCACTGGAGAGAGGCACGCATTATCCCGGTGAAGGGAGAGGGTCTATGCAACGAGAGGGAGATTTAGACAACCCTCGCTCATGGCGAAGGAAACCTCTGGGCGGGACGCAAGACTATAGAACAGCAGCCGCCTTGCAGTATCAGTAACAACAAGCAACCTGGACAATACACAGGAAAGCATGCAGGCAGAGGAGCTCCGGGGAGGTGAGTGAGAGTCCACCTATGAGTGGCTCCGGCAGACGGTATTTCTACTTATACATTTGGATATGCTGCAAATATACCCGGGGAAATTATGGAGTATGTCGGGGACAACGCTCTGGAAACTTCTCCGTCATAATTGTCATAACCAAACATCTGGCAGGAATGAATTACTCCCGGCCTTGGTGATTTAGGACCACAGACTCCAAGGACATGTAGGCCTGGGACATTTATGACCCAGTCCCATAAATGTTTTATGTCCCACTTTGCGGAGTAGAGCCCGAGGTCCTCAAACGTTTCTGAGCAGAACAGCTAAGATACGGCTGTAGATCTTTCCTCATTCTGTGCAGAGAAGCTTGAAGAAAACCCGAGCTCCTATGCACCTGGCCCTAGAGAAGTTGCTGCATATTAATATAATCATTTTCTAAATAATTATTCAGCACCCACTCAGTGGCAAGCACTCTTCCAGGCCCTGGGGGTATTCTGCTAAAAGTTCCTCACTGCTGGCGACGCCGTTGACAGGAATAAAAAGCCACCTCTTTCCTGCTCAGGGCTGCTGGTGGTTCTGAACTGCCAACCATGGGGATCACAGCCCAATGGGGAACCACTACGGCACCAGGGCGCCTGCTAAAAGCTATTGAGAAAGTGAAACTGAGTCGAGGGATAGAAAGTGAAAGAGATGGGCTTCCTCCAGTGCCTAGGGAGGCATCTGTAATGCTCAGAAGAAGGAAATCAACTGGCAGCCGTGCAGGGATCTCCGGGAGGCATTCCAGTGGAGGGGTCACTGATGAAGTGCCCCGAGGGTGAAAGGCACTGATTTGGTTTTCAGACAGAACCAGAGCATTAAGTGGGCCTTGTGGCTGGAGCAAGGTGTGGCAGGGAGGAGTAGGATTTTACATGTCCCTTCCACAAGGGCAGTGGTTTGAACCCACCAGCGGCTCCCCGGGGGGAAGGCGAGGCTCTCTTTACTCCAGTAAAGATTGACAGGCTCAGAAACCCACAGGGCCAGTGAGGCCCAATGAGCCAGCCTGGCTGGACTCCACCCCCACCTCATTCACACCCCTACGTACCAGCCCCGTGATCAGATGTGATGAAGAAAAACCAGGTGTCAGGGAATGGCAGCTACAGAACGAGTTAGCAGGGTGGCTCCTCCACAGAAAACTCAAAAACCCTGTAGTTACTGCCGTCCAGTCTGTTTGGACACATAGCAAAGTAACGCTGTAGTGTTTGTGAGGTTCTCACCATTGAGACACAGATTGCCAGACCAGTGTTCTGAGACATCTCTGGGTGGGTTCGAGCCACCAACCTCTAGGGTAGTAGCTGAAGGATTAAGTGTTTGTGTCCCTCGGGGGCTCTGTAGTTCCTAGCGTGTGCCTGTGAGTCTCAGGCTACCCCTTCCCCTTTTACCTGCTCTTCAGAGTAGGCAAGCAAGCAAGCAAACAAGAAAGCAACAACCTAAACCTACTGCAAACCTCAAGGTCTGCAGTTTGAAGCCACCAGCCACCCCATGGGGGGAAAGCTTTCTACGCCTGTAAAAAGGCTCTGAAACTCAGAGGGGGCAGTTCTACCCTGTCTCATAGGGTCACCCTGAGTCAGAACTGACTCAATGGCAGTGAGTTTGTTTTTTTTTACCCCACTGCCATTGAAATAATCCTGCCTTGCAGAGACCCAATATTAGGTTTTCAGGCCTGTAAACGCTTATTGGAGCACAGAGCCTCATCTTTCTGTAGCAGCTGGTGGGTTTGAACCGCTGACCTTCAGATTGGCAGTCCAATGCCTACGCAACAGCATCACCAGAGCTCCTTAGGCAGCGTGAGCTCATAGCCATGGAGTCAGTTCTGACTCATAGCAAGCCTATAGGGCAGACTAGAAGTGCCCCCGGTGGGTTCTAAGACTGTAACTCTTTCCAGGAGCAGAAAACATTGTCTTTCTCCTGCAGAGCGGCTGGTGGTTTTGAACTGCTGATCTTGTTGGCAGCCCACGTTCATACCTATTACATCACCAGGGCACAGTCGCTACTTGGTAAACACTACCTATCTGAGACACAAAACATGGAACACTATTATCTGGACCCACGTTAACGAGACAGCTGAGGCTGGAGTCCCAAATGGTCACCAAGCTGCTAATTCACCCCGGTGGCCAATTGCAGGTCTCCTCTTACTTCCCCTGCCAGCAGCTTAAGACTCCACTGGTCCTTCCTCCTCCGTGAAACGCAGTCTTCAAGTGGAGTCCAGGAAGAAAACTCTGCCTTCCTCCCCTCTCAGGGGCTCTTCCTGGTGCCGCTCTTCTTGTGGGAGGGGTCAAGGCCATAGACTTCTGGATGTACCCTCACTCCCTCGCAGAGCGAGGCTCCACCTTTACGTATCATCAGAGGTGATGACGCTGCCCCAGGTCTTTCCCCAGAATTTCAACCAATTTTTGACAGGTCATACACATCTCCGGCATAACCTGTCTAAAGCTAAGCTGTCGTCCAAATGAAATTCAGCTAATTAGCTCTCCTCCCAAATACCAAATAGGTGTCCCTCGGGTAAGTCTTGTGCGTCTTATTGGTCTAAATGTCTATCTATCGCTGCCTGCTAGCTGGCCCCTCACGTCCGCCCTGCTGGTTAAAATCGGGTTGTGTCATCCTCTTCTTCAATGCCCAAATAACTTCTCATCTTCTGGAGAAGAAAGGCCAAAGTCCACATGATGCCATTAAAGTCCAGCACTCTCCGGCCCTGCTTTACGTTTCTGTTCTCATTTGCCACCACTCCCCTCTGGCTCAGGGCCCTCGGCCTGCACTGGCCTCTTTAAACAGCCAGACGGGATGTCACCTCAGAGCCTTTGTGCGTCTTGACTTCTTGACTGAAACTCTCTTCCTTCCATGTCGGCATGGTTCTGAGAGGCCTCCTAGCCAGCCTTTAACAATGGCAAATCCTCCCACCTCTGCCTCCCCTGTGGACCTGCCACCTGTTATTTCTCCCACGGCTTTGACCACTTGTCACTGACTGTACAACTTGATTTCTAATGTTGCTCATCATGTCTTCCCCTGCTATCATCCCCTTCACCAAAGAATTTTAAAAATATAAAAATATGTCGCTGTTGTGGCTCAAGCTCCTTCACATGAAGCCGCAGGTGGCACGTGGCAGCGTGACAATGGATATGTTGTTTCTCTGGAGTATAATCAATGTGCTATCTAATTGACGGGCAAGAGACAAGAGCAGAATTCACATGCGGGGCAATCGCAGTCTATAAACCTGAAAGAAAGCGTTCTCTAGGATTCTCGCATGGGTCTGGGGGGCGGGGGGAACTGAGTTAAGAACTAAAACGTTTTAGAGATTCATGGTAAAAAGTACAGGAAGACTGATGACCAACAACAAATGAGAACACACACACACACAGTGATAGTGATAGCAAAACAGCGGTTAAGAGGAAGAGGAGGAATCAGAGCAGGACAAAAATACGATGCAAAAATTAAGAAAAGGGACACGAAGCTATAATCAATATAAATATTGTAAGTGGACTCAATCTGCCATTTAACAATCAGAGTTTTGCTGATGAAATAAAAATTTTAAAACCAACAAAGGGTAGCTACATGATCTTTATGGAAGGCAATTCTAAAAAGTCAGGACACAGAAAGCTGAAAAATTAAGGGGAAGTCAAAAGATAGACCAGTTATATATTATCCAAAAGGCGTGTAGAGCTATAAGGTGAAATCATTATTCGGAAATGCGCTAATGTCACAGCCTATACAAGCAACAACAACAAAGTCCATACACAGCAATGGAAAAGTTCAAGTCCCCTGCGAAATGTCATCATTCTAAAATTACAGGCCCATAATCAAAAAACAGCCTGGGTATATCTGAAAAATGGAAGGGAGGAGAAATAAACGTGCCAAAGTGCTATAGGATATTTTCCTTAATCCTTTATCTGTGTTTAAATTTTTAAAAGGAATATTTTTCTGCCAAAATCCAAACCGAATACATGCCGTCCAGTAGATTCCACTAACAGTGGCCTTACAGGACAGAGTGGAAACACCCCTTGGGTTTCTGCAGCTGGATATTTCTATGGGAGCAGACAGTCTTATCTTTCTCCTGCGGAGCGGCTGGGGGGTTCAAACTGCTGACTTTGTGTTGAACAAACCACCTGGAACCCACTCTTCCACTAGGGCTCCTTCATCTAGCCACCCTGCTCCTCTCGCTCCCATCCAGACAACGCCGAATCCCAGGGACACCCCCCGTGGGTTTCCAAGACTGCAAGCTGTGGATGGGAGTAGCAAGCCGGTCTCTCTCCCACGGAGCTGCTGGGGGGTTCAAACTGCCGACCACATGGATCGCAGCCCAACTTGTAAGCACACCACCACCAGGTAGACTTGGCTAATTATTTTCATTTCCCCGTCTTCTGGCCTATCATTCAATGGTCCTCCTAAAACCTACTTGAACATGTCACCCAAGTGTTCACTGAAAGAGCATGCCCAAACTTGCACGCAATGGGGTTGGGACGACTTTTTCCTTCCTGTCTGACAGGCTCCTTGCTGGAGGTGGCCGAGCACCTACCTGCATGTTGAGCTGCTTGTCGTGCAGGGCTCTCTGCAGCTCCAGGAGGCTCCCCTTCAGGGTCCTCAGCTTTACCGCCAGCTGCTCGGCCTCCTCCTTTGTGTGCGCCTTGCCCTCCAGCAGCAGGTTTTCATTGTGGACCGAGAGCTCCGATAAGGTCACGACCTTCTGCTCGATTTCCACCAGCATGTTCTGCAGCAACAAAAGCCAGAGGAGATTTGCCCAGGTGACCAACCTCGGCAGGGAGCTCCCAGCGGCCCTCGGCTTTCAGAAATGGGCTGACCACCTCCTGGCTTTTCCTCTCAGTCTTCACGAACACCATATTAAACAAAATAAAATAAAGATCCCTGAGCGTCTTAATGTTTCTTGTCTTTTTTTTTTTTAGGATTGGGATTAGGAGTTTATTATTTAACAAGACACACGTTGTAAGAAAAATGCATGCCAAACAGACAACAGGTCCAGAGAAAAGAGGTTTCGTGCTAGCCTATCATTCTTGTGGTCCGATGGCAAGTCTATGTCTCAGGACATAGAGAGACCACCTATGACGAGACCTTCCCACATGAAACCCTTTTGAGGCCTTGCTTTTGGGGGTTGATAATTTTTCCAGGTTTGCTGTTATTTCAGGATATATTATATATCCACTTATATGATGTTATATAATGCATTTTAACCTCCCGCATCTGAAAGCTTTCTTAGACAATGGACCGCTTGCTCTGTGCCAGCTCTCTAGTGCCACGCGGCTTCCTCGAACTAGAAACCGAAGGGCAGGACAGGCACAGAATAACCTCCCCACTTCCTGCCCTCCAAGGAAAGGTGACACCAGCGAGCAACACAAGCCAAACGGAACAGGTGGCATTTCCTAGAGAAATCACCGTCTGGCCACCGTCCTTCCCTCTGAGCTCCTTGTGTAGTCCTTCATGTCACTTTACGTTTTCAAGAAGAAGTTTTTTTTTTTTTCATTTTCTTGTATAACTGCAGAAGTCATCAACTTTAAAGATTATATAGCTTTGAGCCCCCAAATAGAACAACCTGGAAGCGTCCATATTTTTTTCAGCAAACTCAAAACTCAAACTCCCTGCCGTCGAGAAGATGCACCTGCTAGCGCCCCTGTGGGAGGCACTAGAACGGTCTCTGGGTTTCGAGCCTGTCACTCTTGACGAGGGTGGAACACTTCAGCTTTCTCCCACTTTTGAACAAAATGAGGTGTACGGACGATTTCCTGAGCACGGTTTTTGAGAAATTTGTATAAATCTGTGCAGGGCGGACTCTACCATTTGGCAGGAGACACATACAGATGTTTTCCTTTTAATGTCTCTTAAAACCAGAAGAAAAAAAAGTATAACTATAATGACTCTATGATCATGAATCCACTCAGCGTATATTTTGCCTTTATACCAAAGCATTGGCAAAATTTGTAGTTTGACTTCTTAGTTATTTTGTGGAGTTGGGGGCCCATGAAGGAAAGTGTCCAGGGACCCAAAGGCAGGGTGTGGTTGTGATTCTATGGAAGGCCCCAAAGGACAATGACCACTAAGCCAAGGTGACCAGATTTTAACACTGGTAAAGCGGGACAAAAGCAGGACACCCTTGATGAAACTCATATCCTGGCAAAATAGCCACACGGCAGCCGAAAACCATATACGCTAGCTTGTCGTGCATTCTTTCCAAAAATAGGGACTTTTAAAAAATGCCACAGACGCGGGAAAAATTGTTAAAAATCGGGACTGTCCTGCCCAAAGCGGGACGTCTGGTCACCTTACACTAACCAGTCGCCATCAAGTGGGCACTAACTCATGTGCATCAGAGCAGATCTCTGCTCCAGAGAGCTTCCAAAGGCTGATGGTTCCAGAAAGATATCTCTAGGTTTTCCTCCAGGTGCCTCTGAGTAAATATCACCATGTCGTTAGCAGTTGAACGTGGTGTTTGTACCACCAAGGATGTCATATTTCTGATACAACTTGTTTAAATGCTTGGTTTTAATTGATCGAGGAACAGTTGTGTATTTGTATAATTCCATTCGGGTAATTTCAACTGTTAGAAGGAGATACTAAAAATACTTGGCTATTTGTAGCAAAGAAACATTGGAAAAGACAAACATAAGGAATCGAGAACATTTGCATGTGAAGTGCTAATTGTTCCATACCATCAAGAACGGATACACATAGATAAATCCCTTAGTGAATTTAAAACTCTATATTAGAAGGAACAACATACTATGCAGAAGGCTTAAACTTTTAGTAGGAATGACCAAACTGGTGTATTATATAACACCTTAAGAAGATGAAGAAAAAAGGTAGTGTTCATTGATGAATCCTTCTGATTTCTTTTCTCATAGTTTAAATGAGAAATGCATGACGTCATGAATAATGACAATTAACCCTACAGATTAGGAGGAATTTTTTTTAGAGACATGTTGATTTAATGCATAATAGAGCTCATAAGGGACAGCAGCTCACCCAGAGGGTTAAACTAATCTGTTGTCATCTGTTGATGACTGCCCAAGATTCCATGGCTGGTACATGGAGCTTCATGAGGCATTCTCTAAAATTATGTATGTGTTTGAAATTTCCATAATAAAAGGTAAGAGAATCATACTCAAACAAAAGCTTTCATGCAATTCACCTCCGCGTTAACTCCTGCTGCAGAGTACATTCTCAGGGGACAATCTTCCTTATGTTGAGACTGCCTGTATGCCTATTAACTCACGGTATTCCCAAAATTTCTCTTAAAAGTTTATAGAATTATAACCAAAATTGCAACAGAACACCTGTAGACAATTCCTGCTGCGTTCTTTACCCACTGTCTGATTTACTGAGACTAACTCCTCTCCTGGGTTTGCACTCCCACACCATAGAGATCTCTTAAGGGTTTGGGTTAGATACTGAGCCTGCTTTCATGGAGTGGATTCCAGCTTAGAGGGGCACTGCAGGGCCAAGGAGAACTGCTCCGCGGGTCTTTAGGGCAATCGACTGCCTCATCTTTCTCCCATGAAGTGGCTGGTGGATTCAAACACTAACCTTGTAGTCAAGAGCTGGCTGCTCAACCCACTCTACCATCGGGCTCCTTTAGGCTACTATAGACTTCAAAAATATTCTCTAGGAAGCTGAAGATTTGCCAAAGAATAGATACTATTGTTTAAATTTTTCAAAAGAACTATGCCCAAATTTGGATTTCATTTCAGCTTTTATAATGTATTGTGTAACATGTTGAATATTAAATAATGTATTTTACAATGCATTATTTTTCTGTTTTCTAAATGTAAAAAGGCAAGGGTTACAAAAGATTCTGTATCAATACCAAATCATTTTAGCATGTTTCCTGTGGTTAAAATTGCCCTTTCTGATGTTGGAACCTCCCTTTGAGACCATTTTTGGTACCTGGCAGTCCACTAGCTGAGCTTCCATGTCCATGGGCTCTGTGGGCACCGTGCCCAGGGCCGTGTCCAGGGAGGCTTTCGTGCTCAGGAGCCAGTGGGTCAGCTCATCGGCTTCGCAGCGGTACCTCTGCAGGGCCTGCTCCTGCCTCTGTCCCTCCAGGTGATCGCTGAGCTTTTCCTGGGGGGGTCAAAGCATCGGTCAACGCCCCAGTTGAGTTCTCGTGGAACAATTGTTCTCTCTCTGGGCTAACCATCTGCGACTTACCCGTGAAACTGAAAATACATATTTAGGGACATGCTCAGATCCGATTTCAGAATTGGGGAGTGCTGAGTGTTGAAATGAATCTTTTCCCAAAAGCCCCCCTGATGATCATCACATACACCGAGAACTGGAAAGAGATTTCTAAACAATTTGTCTATAGGGCCAAGCATACTGTAACTGAGGACAATGGGCCAAGGATCAGAACAAAACAGAGGCAGAAAGCAGCTCATAAATGGCAACAGACACGTGATTGGCAATGTCTGGGAAATGAACGGGATTGGTGAGAACTTCGGTAAACTGGTTAAGACAGAAGAATCAACACATTTGAATTGTGGTGCTGGAGAAAAATATTGAAAGCATCATGCTGAAAGGACAAACATATCTGTCTGGGAAGAAATATTGCCAGAGAGCTCCTCAGAGGCAAGGGTGACAAGACTTTGTCTTATATACTTTGGAGATGTTGTCAGGAGAGACCCGTCCCTGGAGAAGGAAATCATGCTCCGTAAACTAGAGGGGCAGCGAGGAAGAGGAAGGCCCTTAGGAGATGGACTGCCACGGTGGCTGCAACCATGGGTCCAAACATAAGACCCATGGCGAGCATGGTGCGGTGTGTCTTTCTGTTGTGCATAATAAGGTCTCTAAGGTTTGGGACCAACCAAGTGGCACCTGACAACGACAACATGGCAAGCTGAGGAGCATCGGAGGCTAAGAGTCTGTCTCACAGGGCAGCCACCACAAAGGTGCAGGCAGTGCCAGTGTTACTATTGTAATAGTCTTCCCTCACCCCCCGACCCCCAACATTTGATTGTGGTTCAGGTGAAAGTTTACAGAGGAATTAGTGCCATTGTATTCTGAGTGAAGGCAGAATTTTAAAATTTTAATTGAGATCTCTAAGTTTTCCCCAATGATGGCAGAAAAAAAAGTCACACATTAAAAAAAAATCCAAGTCCAGCACTTCACTTTGAAACACTGTACGTTTTCCAAAGAGTGAACCTGGGACAATATAAATGAATGAAAAACTCAACTCTAAGGATAACATACTCTATGTACTTTATTAAAATGTACTTGGTTGTCAACAAGATATTTAAATTAAATACTCTATTAAGTCATTAAAATGACGTTCATAAGGTAGACACATTAAATTTAACATTTTCCAAAATAAGAAATAAATACTTTTACTAATAAGTGAAACTAAGGTGAACTTACATCCCTAATAAGTGAAACTAAAATTAACTTACATCCCTAAACTTAGGGTTGTGGCTAATTGAAATATGGTATAATTGGCAACTAAGTTAAATACTATCCAGTCCATATAGGATTGATAATCAATTTTGTGATGATCAATTATGTGCTGATAGGACCTGTTGACATATGGGGGAGATACTTTGAGAGTATTCATGTAGGGTATTTATTATTTAATATTCATGTATTCATGTAATATTCATGTCACAGTATTCATTATTTAATATTCATGTGGGTTATATGAGTAAGAATATGATATTATTTTCTATATGCTATAAAAGTGTTATAAAAGAATATCAACAGAAAAAAGAAAACATACCAAGGGCTTAAGTAGAAAGCAAATGTTTTGAGAATGATGATGGCAACATATGTATGAATGTGCTTGGCACAATGGATGTGTGTATGGATTATGATAAGAGTTGTACAAGCCCCAAATGAAATGATTTTAAAAAAGAAAAAGGAAAACAGATGCTTTCCAATACACACACTACTGTTTCCAAAACTCGTGTTTATATGAAATAGTATTTCAAATGAGTAACATAGGAATCAGAATTCTAATAGCATCTGTATGAGTTAAATAGTTTTAGGATTGGCTCTCAGTGCCTATACATGACAACCAAACCTACTACCATCAGGGCGATTCCAACTCCTAGTGTCCTTTCTAGGTGTTCTTTCTGGGAGCACATGGTCTCACCCTTCTCCCTCAGAGTGGCTAATGGGTTCCAACCACCTACCTTTCTTAGCAGTCCAACAGTAAGTAGGGTTTAATTTTCATAGATTTAACAATAATGAGAATGATTCTTAGAATCTCCATGTTCAAAAATCTTTCTCCCCATGGAATGGTTGGTAGGTTCAAAGCTAGTTACTTTAAGCAATGTGACACCAGGATGCCTCTATTTCAACAGCGCCAACCACGGTGCAAACCTTCTACCATGACTCTGCCTGCTTGTCCTGAGTCTGACCTATTCCTAATGACACAGACTCGATGCTCTATTCGCAAGAACGTTCCGGAAACCCAACACCACCATCTGAAGAGTGGGATCCAATCATGAGGTGGATCCCATCATAAGCCCGCGGGCTTGTGGCCACAGCTTTGAACGTTAACTCAAGACACCAGGGACACCCTGGGAGTGGCTGTTACCTCCAAGAGCTGGCGTTTCCCAGATGCCTTCATCCTGACGGTGGACATTCGCTCGGCCAAGACCGTGAGTGTGGTCTGCAGGGCCAGCTGCTCCACTGGGTCCGACTCAGGGGACTCGGCCACCAGCTCCTCTGAGAGAGAAGACTGCAGCTCACTGATTTCTTCTTGGAGCATGAGAATCTCGTCCATCAGGGCCTGCACGGGAGAGGGTGGTGTCACACTCTTTGACTGGGTACCAGGTCACTTCACAGAGTCGCACTGAGCGAGATCCGTGGAAGATAGGTCACCAAAGAGGCATTCGATTGGCTAATTGGGGACCAACTAAACTTGTAAAATGAAAGCAGCTGCTACCTGGCAGAACATTTCTGAGTGTGAAACGATTTCTGTAGCCCCTAACTATAGCGGGGCTGAGCAAGGTAATTTCTTGTTCTGGGTTCCCACAGGCACATCTGTGATGTGAGGAACCTATGCTTAATTGTGCCTGCGAGCCTACAGATCTCTGTTGGCAATCAAGTCCATCACTACGTTCCTGGACATGGCATTTGTGCATTCCAGATTTCACCCGAGACTAAAAAAAGAAGTCTTGCCTATCCCATCCAGGACCTGCAACAATATGAGAGAAATATCAGACACTCTTCTTGCTTATCTCCCTGCCTGGCTGCCCCTTCTCTGATATTGTTGTTGGTTGAGGATTCACGGTGACTCCGTGGACAACAGAAAAGGAGCGCTGGCTGGGTTTGAACCAGACCTCTGACTGGTTTCCCATCAGACCACGGCAAGCCATACAACTTTCACTGACTGCCTTTCAGAAGCAAATCACCGGCCTTTCTTCCCCGCCCACCTTAGGGTCTTTGATGGTGCTGGTAGGTGCCATTGAGCAGCTGTCTAATGCCTACAGACACCGTGTGACAGAGCAGAACTCCCTGGAGATGGTTTTTGGTCTATAATCTTGATGGGAACGATGGTCAGGTCTTTCTCTCAGGAAGGCCCTGGGTGGGTTCTGAGCACTCAGAAACTGTCCACTCCCAAGCTTCAGCTGTTCCTCGTGCTGGACCGGAGCCCAGGTGGTACAGTGGGTGATTTGAAGCTCTAACTACAAGACCAGCTGCTCAAACCCACCCACCACTGCCCCCGCAGGAGGACATCATGTTTGGCCAAGTAGAGGATCAGTGAAAGAGAAGGCCCCCAAGGAGAAGGAATAACACAGCAGATGCAACAGGGGCCGTAACGCACTGCCATCGAGGAGGATGGCACATGACTGACAGGGATGGTTTCACTCTGCTGCCCGGAGTTATGAGTTGGAGTCTGCTTGATGGCACCTAACAGCCACCGGGGGTTCACAGGAGCTCTGCTGGCACGGTGTTTAAGTGCTCATCTGCTAAAGGGAGGCAGATGGGTTGAGGCCACCAGTGGCTGCCCGGGAGAAAGCTGTGCGTCTGCTTCCGTTGAGATGGCACAAAGACCGACTCCGTCCTTCCTCTAGTTGTTAGGAGACAACCTTGATTCAACAGCCTTAGGTAGGTAGGGAGTTGGTGTGCAATGGTGTCTCAGAGTAGAATTGATGTGATCTCCCTGCTGACTAATGAGCTTGAGCAGTGTTTTCATGTGCTTCCTGGCCACCTGTCTCTCCTCTCTTGTAACTATCAAAATCCTCTCCCATCTTTTACTGGTGTCTTTCCTTTTCTAACTGACAGGTAGGGTTTTTTTTTAGATATTCTGTAGGCTGTGAGTCCTGCAGGTGGCTTCTCCAACTTAGCATGGCTTTTCAGTTCGCTGAAAATCTGTTAGTGAAAAAAGATTCTCTTTTCATGGTGGCTTAAACACACAGAGAAGTTCATCCTTTTATTGTAGCTCGATGTATTTCTCCTCGTAATGAGAGCTATTTGTGTCCTATGCCCGTGCCTGCCTCAAAGACAAGGAGACATTCTTATCAGCGATCTTCCAGAGATCTAGAGAGGGCTTCTCAAAGTGTGGTCCATGGACTGGTGTTCCAAATCCTAAAACCCCTGGCCATCGAATCCATTCTGACTCGCAGCAACCTAATTCGTGGCTGTGAGGTGCCCCGACTAAGGGAACCCTGGGCACAGCGGAAGGGAACCCTACTCGCCCTGCCCCATCCTCCTGATTGTGACGTTTGCGCCCAGTGCTGCTGCCACTGTACCAAGCCATCTCATCAAAGGTCTTCTTTTTTGCTGACCCTCTACTTGACCAGGCGTTAGATTCGTTTCCAGGGACTGGTCTCCCAGATGACCTATTGAAAGTAAATGAGACCGTTTCCCCATCCTCATTTCTACCGAACATTCTGGCTCCACTCACTCCAGGACAAAGTAAGAACTGCCTCATGAGGTTGCCAGGATGGATCTTTTGTTGTTTTACTTTCATTGTGTTTTAAAATCGTTTGATTGGCATAGAATTCCCATATCATACCATTTAATCATTAAGTTCCATCAAGAAGAGTTGTGCAAGCATCACCACAATCTATTCCAGAACATTTTCTTCTCAGACTCATTGTTAGCTCCCCTATTCCCCTCAACCTCCCATGCCATGCCTCTAGTTAATTATTGATCCAGTTACTCTCTCTAGAGATTCACCTGTGCTGGACTTCAGATACAGAAAATCATACAAACACAAACAGGATGCAAACAACTCAACAAACCACCAACAATGACAAAACAAAACAAAGGAAAACCTCAATTGAAAAGAAAGCAGAAAATATGACAAACGAGAAACAACTTTGTTACATTTTAACCTAACCACATCTCCCATAATCAACTTTAAAATGGTCTCCGTATGATAGCCTGGCTATTCAGAACCCTTAACTGTTGTCAGAAGAAATTTACTGGAGGCTTAATCCATATGGGGACCTTGCAAGTAGCTTTTGGGTTTCCACTGTTACCCACAGCCTTCTGCAAACCAGATGTTCAGAACTTAGGCCCTGATACCATTCCCTCCTTTAGATTTGGATTTTATTATTTACACTCCTTGGATCACACAGGCTGCTGTGTTTCTTCCATGTGGACTAAGTTGATGCTTCACTTGTGCATGTGTGATGCATGTGTTGATGGCTGCATGTGTGGGGGAAAAAATGTGTTTACGACCCCAGACACTATTCTTTCTGATATTTCGGCACCATTTGTTTTGTTTGCTTGTTTGATTTTTACCACTCTTTTCTATAGCACTCATATCTTCAGTCATCTCTTCATGAGTGAGTATTGAACATTGGTCATGACAGAGAACTAATTGTTCTTAGATTGGGGCTAAGAATTAAGTGAGAGCCCCAAATCCATCCATGTAGCTATGATTTATATATGTCTCAAGTTCACTTTAGAGACATCATTATAATATTATGAGAGAGAATATTATCAATCATCTCCTTGGGGCATAAGGGGATTCTCTGGATCAGGGGTCCTCAAACCTTTTAAACAGGGGGCCAGTTAACTGTCCCTCAGACCCGTTGGAGGGCCAGACTATAGTTTAAAAAAAACTATGAACAAATTCCTATGCACATCGCACATATCTTATTTTGAAGTCAAAAAACAAATGGGACAAAAACACCCGGCGGGCCAGATAAATGTCCTCAGCGGGCCACATGTGGCCCACGGGCCGTAGTTTGAGGATGCCTGCTCTGGATAGTGCTAGATGAATCTTTATGGAAGTTGTCTGCCATAACTTTCACTTATTGAGCTTCTGGTGGGTTTCAACTGCAGACCTTTTTGCTAGTAGACAAGCACCTTAATAACCAGACTTCTTTCTAAAGTCTTGGTCATCCATAATCATGAAGGTCACTATCACAGAGGACTCAACATGCACATAAATTAGCCATCCCTTGGCTTACACCTACACATATGTCCTGAAATTAGACCGAGAGTACAAATTAGAGGAGATGCCAGGAAATCCACAGGCCTCTAGCCAATTCAATAGATTTTAACACATGTTTTGAGAGAGAGAGAAAGAGAGAAAGTAGGAATTCAGTTAGCTCTTTAAAGAAACATTACTATTTTTAAGAGTGTTGGGAAAATACAAGGCGATCATAGTGTTTCGATTGAGTTTAAGGAGCTATAAAAGGCACCCTGGACTTCTTTCTCATCATTCCGCTGAAGTTTAGAAGCAGTCATCCTATCATTGTGCTGGGGGTGCTTTTTTTTAAGCACCCTTCCAGAGCTCAGAACAGATTTTGATATTTAGGGTACCAGTAGGCTTTTTGTGTGGGCAGTTCTACTTCAAATTTTTGTGGAACTTGGGCATTTTCAGTAGAAGTCAGTAAAAGTAGGTCACAGAAAAATGTTGGCTTTGGGGAGATAAGACTGAGTTACACACGATGATCTCTTATTTCATCATATGGTCCCTCTCATCACAGTGCTAACAAAATTGTTGGGCCTCCGTGGCAGGTCCCCACCATTGAGTCAGGTGCCCCCACCATTGAATCACCATCTCCTCTAGGCTAGACGAGGAGAAGGCTAAGAGGGGGATGCATGGCTGGCCTTCGTGATGAGACAAGTCACAGACCTGTCCCTGATTTCTAATACTCGGGATTAACTGGTGATCTTAAATGTTCACCATCAAATCCTTTGAACAAACTCAGGATATAGCCCTGTATTTTCTGTTTCTTCGCATGTGAATATGATGAGAAGACAAGGTGTGGGGGAGTTGGAAGGTCACTGGCTTTTTCAGTGTAGGAACTCTGCATTGTCAGCACCAGCCACCAGGACTTTTGTCTGGAGGTCTAAATCCTATGGGAGCCAGTGAAGGGTCTTGGGGGTGAAGGATCCTGAAGGGAGGTGGAGATGCATATGTAGGTCAGAACTGTGCCCCATGTGGCTTTCCATGGCCTGTTTCTTTAGAAGCAGATTGACAGGACTCGCTACAAAGGCAGAAAGCCTTTCGGTCCATTAGATCCACTATGTTTCCTTCTTCCTTCCCATCTTTCCTTCCCTCTTTCTTCCCCTCCCTCCCTTCCTTTCTGCCCTGCTATTATTCCCACTCACCCTCCCCCACCCATTCAGCATGCATGCCTACCCAATTATCTACCTATGGGGATTATGCATGTAACAGTATTTGTCTCAACAAAAATGCCTTTTGTTCTTGTAAACTTTCCCGTCTCTTCCCCTGCTTCCATCATCTTCTTGCCAATCTTCCTCTTATTTTATATTGCCTTCCCCTTCACAGAAAGGTAACTCTTTTTTTTTTTT